ATCTCTTAGTACATTGACCATCTCTTAGTACATTGACCATCTCTTAGTACATTGACCATCTCTTAGTATATTAACCATCTCTCAGTACATTGACCATCTCTCCATAGAATGACCATCTCTTAGTACATTGACCATTTCTCAGTACATTGACCGTCTCTCAGTACATTGACAGTCTCTACGTAGAATGACCACTTCTCGGTACATTGACCATCTTTCAGTACATTGACCATCGCCTCTACTTTTATTGTCCCTCTGTAGAATAACCATCTCTCAGTATATTGACCATCTCTCCATACTATGACCATCTCTCCTCAGAATGACCATCTCGCAGTACTTTGACCATCTCTCAGTATATTGACCATCTCTACATAGAATGAACATCTCTCAGTACATTGACTATCTTTCCGTACATTGACCATATCTCTGTACTGTGACCATCTCTCCATAGAATAACCATCTCTTAGTACATTGACCACCTCTCAGTACATTGACTGTCTCTCAGTACATTGACCGTCTCTCCATACTGTGACCATTTCTCTGTAGAATGACCATCTCTTAGTACATTGGCCATGTCTCCATACTATGACAATCTCTTAGTACATTGACCATCTCTCCGTACATTGACCATCTCTCCGCAGAATTACTAGCTTTCCGTACTATAACCATCTCTACGTAAAATGACCATCTCTCACTACTATGACCATCTTTCAGTACATTGACCATCTCCCCGTACATTGACCATCTCTCCGTACATTGACCATCTCTCCGTACATTGACCATCTCTTCATACTGTGACCATCTCTCTGTACTGTGACCATCTCTATGTAGAATGACCATCTCTCAGTACTATGACCATCTCTTAGTACATTGATCATCTTTCCGTACATCAACCATCGTTCCGTACATTGACCATCTCCCCGTACTGTGACCATCTCTTCATACTGTGACCATCTCTCCGCAGAATTACTATCTCGCAGTACATTGACCATCTTTCCATACTATGACCATCTCTCAGTATATTGATCATCTTTCTGTACTATGACCATCTCTCAGTACATTGACCATCTCTCCACAGAATGTCCATCTGTCAGTACATTGGCCATCTCTCCATACTGTGACCATCTCTCCATACTGTGACCTTTTTTCCGTACTGTGACCATCTCTCCGTACTGTGACCATCCCTCAGTATATTGATCATCTCCCCGTTGATTTACCATCTTTCCGTACATTGACCATCTCTCAGTACGTTGACCATCTCTTCACAGAATGACCATCTCTCAGTACAATGACCATATCTCAGTATATTGACCATCTTTTCGTACTATGACCATCTCTCCATAGATTGACGATCTCTCAGTACATTGACCATCTTTCAGTACATTGACCATCTCCCTGTACATTGACTATCTCTTCGTACTGTGACCATCTCTCAGTACATTGACCATCTCTATGTAGAATGACGATCTCTCAGTACTAGATGACTATCTTT